CAAACTCGGGTGGTGTTGCCCGGTTTGCTCTTGCTCCGATTTCGCCTTGCTCAAGCGCCGCTGACCATGCCAACGACTTTGACCAACCAGGCAAATAATGACAGCATGCCAAAGCATGACTACCAGCCAGTTGTAGGTACAGGAACGGTATGCCTGGTATGCGATAGCCTTCTTACCTCGACGCGCTCAGGCCAGGGCTATTACATCACCAACCGCCTGGCGGCTATCGAACGTTTGGCCAAGTTTAAGCTGCCCCAAGTACGCCCGCGGCTGGATTGTAGACCTGATCTTGCGCAACATGTGTGGCGGTTGCTGGTGCTGAATACGGTGGTTTGGTTGCAGTGGATCGGTGAATGGCACAGTTGGCTCCGACGGCTGCCTCCAAGACCAACAGTCGATGCCCAGCAAGCCCCGCAGCCTCCATTGTCGTCGATGGCCTCGGTGCCCTCTATGAGCGCTCAGCATGCTAAACCACCAGCTTCCCGCCAAGCCCTGGCAGATGTAGACCAGGCATGGCCATCATTTCTTCGGCATTCAGTGAGCCACCTTCCGATAATGTTTCGCCAGAGCGTCTATCAGCTCATGTCAGAGGAATTGGGGTTAGAATACGCCCTACGAAGCCAGCCCCTAACTTTTCCGTTAAAAGTGCTCGAAAGACAATGCATCCGGCAGGACCGTATTGCCTTTACCCCCATCCCATTGACCACGACAGATGAGGTGCACCTCCAATGCGCTCTGCTATTTCCTTGGCGTGCCATTGACTCAATTTCCTCACATTTGACCATTGCCCCGTGCGCCTCAAAACCACTACAACCCAACGCAGTTCCTGCTGATGTGGATCAATCACTTTCTGCCCAGATGGACCAGGACCTGAACGAAGCTGCGCCACCTTGTCTCTCGCCACCGAGCCTTTTCATGTCTAGTTATTTCGACATTCCTACCCACAATAGAGCAGCAGATGTTCGCGGATACCTTGGTATGGTACCAATCATTTCTACCACCCTGGCCCAATCGCCTTCCTTGTATTCCAATCACGCGCCACACCTCATTCCCCTATTCGATGCCTTTGCCATATACGGCCCAGAATTAGGGTCCCAAATTTACGCCTATTGCTTGTCACACGCTGCACCTCATGCGTTGGCCTCGCAGACCACGCTCGCTGAATCATACCAGATTACGGGAGCCCAGTTGATGAACAGTGCCAACTTAAAGCATCAAATGTGGGATCCAGACCAGACATACGTCGGCCTGGGGATCAAGGCCTCACCATTGGGCCTTGGTTTTACAAACAACCTTTTCCGGTTGCATCAGTACTCCGCTCCATTGAAATAATCTGTGCGCTGTGAATCGTCAGGGTGGGCCAATCGTGCTATTAAATCAGTTGCAAGGTACCAAGGTCGTCACATCGGCTCGTGTGACTGGATGATTTAAGTTCATGGATGCTGCCACTGGCTAGTTGACAAAGACCTGTGTGGTTGTCTTCCATCAAACGCAATCTCTATGATGCCCTCGACAATGCCTCAACGCTCCGAGAGTAGCTCAGCAGTCAGAGCAGAAGACTTCTAGGCGCTTCAAGCCATCTCTTGGTCCCCGATTCAAGTCTGGGTTCTCGGACGGCTGCTTTTTAGAATGACTGTAGGCCCATTGCGCTTCATGCAACTAGCGTAACAACACCTTATGGGGGCTGATGATAAAGTTGGGAGCCAAATTACTTATTTCCGTTCAGCCTGACCCGTGGCTATTTTCACCTGGGCAGACAGGTACCAGGAAATCAATGCCGATTTATCGGAGGGCTGGTCTGGTACATGCAGTACGAACCAAGTAAAAAAATCAAGGCGCAGGACATGACAAGAATAGGAAAAAAAGAGGGCAGCGATAAAAGGAACAAATAATACACTTCTCAAAAGAAGTTATGCACGACCAGCAAGACCAATCGTATACCCACAGTGGGTTCGATCTTATCGTTGCTAAAGAATTACTACTCTTTAGAGTTGGTCTTGGCCGCGTCCTTGGAAGCGCTGTCATCGGTGGCGTTGGCGTCCTTGTCCGTGTTGCCCGTCAACCAGTCGTTTTCCGATTCACTGTTTTGGATCTTGTTGCTGATGAGATCGTGCAGGGCAATGATGGCGCGCACCAGAGCTGAGATATAGGTGACCATGTATTGGTCGTTGGTCTTGGCTGCCAGCGTCTGTGTGAACCCTTGGACGTCGAGGTTGGGCAAAAGGTTGAAGATATCCTGCAGGTTGTGGATAATTTCATGGTTTACCGGCAACGCGCCCTCACTGACCTTGAACAAATAGTCGCGGATATCGCTCAAACGCTTTTCCAACCCCTTGAGCGAGTTCAGTTGGTGGCTCACCCGCGTAGACAACGAACCAACAGCATTGTCCTTGATGTCACGAAGCAAGTGTTCCACACCAATCTCTTCGGCTTCCTCTGCCGCGATCTCAGACGGTGCGTGCATAAAGGTCTTGGTAGTTGCTGTTCCGTCGTCATGGATTTCTTCCACCGAAAAATACGCATCCGTCGGGATGCCAATATCATCCTTTGGCTCCACATTCACAATCACCAGCACCGGGTCTGGGGTGTAGCGCTTAAAGAGCTCATTGATTTCCAAGTCCGAGCTGCGCAGTTTGGGCCCGCTGTGGTACCAACCGATCAAGCGTTCCTTGGCATTGACCTTTTTGTACATGTCACGCATGGTTTCCACATACATGTGGTCCAGGAACCATACCGATTGACCACGGTCATCTTCTTCAAACGGCACTGTGTAAGCGGAGCAGCAGTTTGAAAAGCGCCATGGAATTGTTGGCCCAGCCAATGCCAGATCATCGGGTTAGAGCAGAGGAGGGGGTGAGTTTATGTACCCTCTGGATTCCAAAACGAGCCGAGTTCCATATAGGATGCAGAGGCAGAGACTAGCACAGGCATAAGGTCGCTCTAGCATAGCCTACTTACCTGCAAAGCTGTTGGACACGTTAACTCGATCATTGTCTGCTTGCCCCAGCAGCACACCAACCACGCGCTTCTTGGTGTTCTTTGCCACGCGGTTATAGTGATCCACCACGGACAGGAGGACCAGCGGGTGAACAATGACCTGCTTGGCGGTAAATGTGCTCGTTGGTGCAGGCATCGTAAAGCTATGCTATGGTCCGAGAAAATACAGGAGAGAGAGAGGAGCTTTGGGAGTATTGCAAAGGACAGTAAGAGCAGAGAAAGGAGGGAGTAAAAGTGATTGTATGGGGTAGTCAGAACCGAAATGGAGGTGATAAGGCGATTAAAATTACCAGAGTTGAAACCTGGATGAGCGGAGCAAGGTGAAGGGGGGCACATCTGCGAGCGAAGAGTCCAGCGACCAGCTGTCCTCAGCAGCTATAGTCGGTAACGCCTGCGTACTTGTGGCTAACCGTAGAAGCTCGTATGAATGGCAAGGCCCATCTCATATTGCATGCTCACCGCTGATCTCACTGCTACTAAATGCTTGTAGCCCACTTTGCGATAACCACATTTACCGACTATTCTTCACCTAAACGCGGTGTATACTATATCCCCCTCCTTCCGATTCAAACCAGCCATTGCAGCCCAGCGTTGCCCTGCAATAAGTGCTCACGCTGCTTCGAATTCGCAGCTCTTAAACGACTCCACAACGCTTGACAACACATTGGACCCGGTAGCCAATTCCGGTTGAGGCTCACGATGGGCGTAACATGGTAAGTAGCGTGCGCACTCAACTGTGAACCACAACACGAGCGCCTGGCTATCGTTCTGGTAGGCATGAGTGCACCACACAACGGGCCGTTGCTAGGTTCCCACAAAATTAAGCGACAGGTGGACGCAGCCTAGCACTGGTCAGCACCATGCTCGTGTTAACTTTTATTCTGGCGACCATTATGGCGGATGCGTGGATGCCTGGGACTCACCCCACAGCGTATTTCGGTGGGTGAATGCGACAGGATCAACGAGCCTAAGCCAACTTAATGCCCAGCTCACCCAACGGCTTTTCGCCGCTAATCTGGGACGCTGGACCGTGACTTGCCGCCTGTACCGCGAAATTCCACCAGCCATGGATCCTGCCGCCCCCGCTGCTGGCTCACCAACCATGGCCACTGGCATCAAATCACACGAGAAGATGCTGCTCCTTCTCACCCATGGCTCGGAGCCCGCCCGACAGTACGCCATGGTGGACGAGGGTTGCATCGTGGAAACTGACCGCGAGCTGGAGGCCATTGTCCATAAGCTGAAAAACCTGTGGGTGGCGCGGCAGTCGTCGCAAATCGACGGGCACCTGTACGACCTGGGCGATTTCCGAGTCCGCACGGGCAATATGATGGTGGGCACCGCGAACAAGGGTGTTATTGTGGAGGTGGAGTACGTGCCGTGCTGTCACCCACAGGCGTGTCAGCGGATCCTTGCCGAGTTTATAGGCTTACTGATGCCGACCAACGCTCAATTGTCGTTTAGTATCAGAGCCACCGAGACCAACGGCCATCGGGAACCTGGCGGTCAAAACTTGGCCTCATCCACTGCGCTGGGCATGGCACCGAGCGATGTTGCAGCGCACCCCGAGGTGCTGGCAATAGATTATAGCCGGGCTGGCATCCAACAGGCGCAATTTTCTGCGCTGAACACTGCTTACCAATACTTTGCGCTATTCAGGACTGGTAACCTGCTCTAGCCAATGAATATCCACTGGCTGTGCGGTATACCACAATATAAAACAATAGCCGCGTAGCTGCTTCAGGCCAGGGTGTGGAAAGCTGGCAAAATGCGACGAAGCGCTAGTGCATCGGCCTTATTGTTTGCCTCTCGGTCCCACCGATCCTTGGGACTGTGCAGCACACGCACACCCTCACACCAGCCGTGGGCCCGTGGCTAACGTTTGGGACGCACTCTAATGCGCAGTTGTGTAGTGGCAAGGTCGCATTAGCACAGCAACACCTATGGGCAGCGCCCACAACTTACCCACCCTTGTTAGCGCCCTGCACCGGTGGCCTTTTGTTCTGCCCTTGCCCACACCCCCAACCTGCCGGCAGCTTTGTTACTGGCCCGCTGACTGGCACTGGTGGGAACCCCGAGCACTGACAACGCTTAGCGGCGCCAGGCCCTAGCACATGCGACTGTCATAGGCTGTGTGAGTCGGGTGCTAGACGCCACGCACATCTCCCACTTTGACCAGCCCGCTGCTAAGGGCGGCGCATCCTGTACCAGAGTCGCTAGTCCCAGTGGCACTTTAACCCACCCGCCTTCTGTGCCCTGTGCTTTTTATATTCGCTACGGTATGCATGAACATTTAGTAAACGCCTTTTCTACCCTGCCAATGACCTTTTAACTGCACCTTGCTGTGTACTTCAGGCGGTCTGCTTCATTTTTCTCCTTGACCTTTCTGCTAGAGTGCCTGTGTATACCTAGTGTTGTTTTCACCATGGCTTCAGCGGTTGCCAAAACGTACATGCAGTTTGCGGCCACGACAGTGGGCCGTGACAAGACGTATCGGTTTGTCCAGTACCTCTGCCGATTCCTCGCCTACTACGCTGCTCGCAATGGCACCGCTCCCAAGGCCCTGGTGCAGGCCCTGGCCAACCTCAAGGCGTCGATTGGGCTGTCGCGTAAGCTTATGCGCATTGGAAAGCCCATTGACTTTTACTACGGTGCCTTGCAAGCCTTCCAGGCAACCCCTGACGAGCTGTTGCGCGTGTTGGCGACGGGCAAGCAGGCGTTTATGGCGCTCTACATGTGTTTTGACACGCTGCAGTGGGTAAGTCAGTTGACCTAACCTCAGAGACCAAGGGGGTGTATGCGTCCACGCAGGTTTCTTGTAGCTCTCCCGCGTCGGCTGGGCCCAGGCAACTCGCGGCGTATGGCTGACCCAATGGGCACTATCCTAACAGCCTACCTAGCGGTGTTGCTGCGGTACACATACATTGGGCCATCTCGCTATTTCATGGTTGCTAGGTGCATGGTGTCAAGGCCTACCAGTTTAAAAACCATGCAGGCATTGTTCGTACCGGTGCACGATTCTGGTTGGCAGCGCTTACTTGCTCGTGGTTGGCAGGGGTCTACCAGCTGTACCAAAACCGTATGCGCTACTCGACTCTGTCATCCAAGATCTCCAAGCTGACCGAAAAATACGACTCGACCGACGAAGTGCTGCTCGAGAAGCAATCGGTTTCAAGGTACGGATTGCTTATGAAAGCTTGCTATTTTTGTACAAACTATTGGGCCAAGGTGATTCGATACACGCTCAACTGACACTCCTATTCGTGCTAATATGCGGAAACTATTGGGGCTACTTGTTGTACCTTGTGCGTCGGTGCTTACCTTTGATGCCGACCATCTGCAGCCAACGCCAACAAATCATTCGCCAGTTGGTCCAGGATTCATTGGATATCTTGATCCCAGCGCACACCCTGCAGCTCCATTCGCTGGGCGAAGGGTTAGTCGGCTTAGCCGGGTAAGTACGAAGGATTAGGGCAAATGGACTGTAGTTCCTGGATTATGATATACACATTTTTCCCATTTTGCCACCCTACTTCATGCTGTTGCCCATGTTGAACGGGAAGAGGGGCAAGCGGTAGATGATTCGGTCATTCTCATTACGCCCCAAAACTGTTGGG